GCCTATATTTCTATGGATGATGCAATGTATAAGAATGCATGACTTTTTATGAACATTTTCATGAATTGCATAAAGCATAGAGGTAAGTTTCCATCCCCTATCGGACCCTATGTCGATTTATATTCTATCGAATTTATTCCCCTTCTTTCGAATGCAAAGAATAAATCATCTACAATCACATAATAATTGGCCAAATAATTATGGAAGCATTCAAAGCATATAAACCAAACATTTGTCCAATCGAAACTAATGTTGAATTTATGAAATAACGGAAATTTAAATCATCAAAAGGTTCATCAAATTCCTAATAAATAAAAACCCTAGCCTATAATCATTATTGCAAAATCAAGAAATTGAAAAACGAAATTAAAAGAAAATAAGAATACACCCGTATGGAATTTCTTCAATCCGTGTGTATAATCTTCAATCCCGTCTCGAGCCCGTGTGAAATTGAATCCAAAATCAAGTTTCTTGCCTCCAATTTTGGTCTCTTCCTTCTCCTTGGTCGTTCCTCCACTTCATATGATGAATTTGGGTATTTATATCGCGTCCAAATTAAGTAGGAAAGGAGTTTCAACCAAAACGAAAAACTGCGCCCGAGGTTTCAAAAACGAACTATGCGACCGCATAGAAGGAATCTATGCGGTCGCATAGATCAAATATTTTTTCTCAATTAATCCCTGAAACCTTCTATGCGACCGCATAGAAGGTTACACTATGCGGTCGCATAGAGGTAACCATCTATGTGGTTTGTTCAATTTGGTCCCTGAACTTCTTTGTTGCTTCTCTTGACTTCTTTCTTCGATTTCTTCATCTTTTCAACAAATTTTATCTTCCAATTGATGATTGATACCATCAATTCTTATGCCCCTCATTCGGCATATCTTTTGAGTATTTGCGCTGTAGTCCTCCAACTTTCAATTGTCTTCATTTCAGTCCCTCTTCAATATTTTCGTCTTCCAATTGTTTTGCTTTGTCATTGAGCTCATACTTGGCATGTCTTCCCTCTCGTTTTGCATTTAGCTCAACTTTTCAATATTTGCACCTTTGGTCCTCGAACTATCAAATTGTTGCGTTTTGGTCCTTCTTCGGCTCTTTTCTCCTGAATTCCACAATTTCCATTGAATTACCTATAATGCATAAATTTAACTGGATTAAGTCACAATTCAACCATTTTATCCATGTTTAAGTCAAGTTTAAGATCCAAATAAGTGTGTAAAAACACACTTATCAGATTTCCAGGAGGCCCAATTGTTGGCAAATGTATCATATAATGGATGCTTCTCGAAGTGGTCAATGAAGTGCTGCACAGCTAACTCATTGACCACCTTTGCCTTAACCTTCAAAGACTTAATCTCCTCTACTTGGTCCTCCGCCCTCCGTCTCAGCTTAGCTCTCCTTTTGTTCGAGACCTCCAGAGCCTCCATAGCCAAACGATGGTACTCCCTGGCATGATCAAGTCTTCTCGTCAAAGTAGTTACCTGGCTCTCTAATAAAGTGTATAAGATTGCATTTTTATGCTGAATGCTCATGATTATTTGCTAATATATAAGTATATTTGGGATTAAT